CGTCGGGGTTTAAAAATATGGAAATGGATGTTTGACTGATATTAATTGGTATGATTATTATTATCTAACATTTGAATTAATATTTGAAATATATTTTAATATTGTAAAACAAAGGGCTCTTCTTGAATTTTGAAATTTGAAAAGGATTCTAACTATAAAATTTTGAGATCGGTTTAAATTACTTGTTTATTTATTTGAGCTACTAAAATGCCACAAATGATAACGCATGGATGAAAGAAGCTTTTACCGCTATAAGCGGTCGCTACACCGAAGAAAGATAGCAAAAAATAATAATCAAGAAATGCAACACATTTGTAACTTAACGAAAGACATAATGTAGAATAATTACTAAATATTTTTCAAATTAATTAAATGAAACTATAATTCATTAAAATATAAAGGAATAATTTAAATTACAAATGAACTAAATAAAAGCTATTTTTTGTTTAAGTATTTTATTATTATTTAATAATAAATCACCAAATAATCTGTTCTATGTATATAAAATTTTAATTAAGAGCTTCGTTGGTTTTTCTCATTGCAAATGATGAATGATTACTACATTGTTATACAAAGTTTAATGGTTAGTAACGTGTTTTTGATAGCGATCAAAATTTTAAAGAGCAAATCCTGTTGACGAATATGGGAGTATTGTAGTAAAATTGTATTATGCCATACAAATTCTTCTTTTTTGTGTGTATGACCTTAAATCTCTTATTAAAAAAAACAAGACATATCAACGAAGCAGTTTTTTTTGTTGCACATGAAAAATATCTTATTACTGTATTTTTTTAATGAAGATTTTAATATTCCCTAACTTGAAAGATACTTGAGATATTAAAATCTTGCAAGTGTGAATTTGACTCGAAACCGAGGATTCTGTATTACGAGCATTGAGCACATAAAAACAGGACCTATTTTTTTTTGTTATGGTTCAGGATACGTAATTTATTAAAAGAAAAATAAATCTTACTTAAAATATTCATTTTATCAATTGCAAAAATAAAATAGTCATTAGAGAATTTCTATTAAAATAAAGTTTCTATAAAAAACATGAAACTGAACAAGTAACGCAAGAAACGCACTGGGAGGCGGCCCACCTCGGTGGGCGGTCTACTATGCGGATTGCTCCTGGTACTTCTCTGTTAGCAGAGTGACCTGTAGAGCAATCCCATGGTTGTTGGAGTCTGCTTCGGCAGACCTACTGTCGGGGTTTTAGTAGGTAAGTCCCACATAACCACCTGTATGTATGCAAAAATTTACCAACGTTAAAAATAACAGGTACAAATCGTAACATAACGAAAAAGTATTACGAGACGTCCGGTTCCGTCTGGTGACGTTTGAATGTTATTGTCAAGCGCTGGTCGCCATACTTGTTTACATCACGTATTAGTTAAATGTGCTCGATGGTATACTCCCGTTAAATAAAAGCCTTTTTCAATAACTAAAAATTTCATTAAAAGTAAATTACATTATCTGATTATTGCAATTTCGTAATGTCTTCATTATTTAAAAAATGAAAACTGCAGTAAGTGAAATACAAACTTAGAAATGTAAGCCACTTAAATTGTATCTTTTGATACAAGTATTTAATATTTACATACGTTTAATGAACGAAAATAACTTATTAAACGTGTAATCGACATATCTAATTTGTTATCTATAGTAAATGAAAACTACCAAACAGATATTTTTTACTTTTTAGTGTTTTTCTTGAAGTCGGTTTTTATTTGATTTTTTAAAAGTATTTTTTTTTATGAAATAAAGAGTTAGAATTATTGTCTGCTGGTTTACACGATACACCTATTTGCCAAATTTCAGTCATGTACCTATAAAAGACTACGATTAAAATGGCTATGACAAACGGACAAGACAAAATTATAGTGTGTTTTTGAAAAAATAATTTTGCAATCGTACTATTAGTATATGAAATAAATAATACATTTGATTATAAGGGCTATTATTATTAGTTATACCCAATACGAATATGAAGTTACAATTAAAAAGTTTTTATATAAGTATATACTATATACGTATTAAATACTATTTTCGAGGTTGATTTAAAAACGGATAAGAAAGAATAGTTTCCACACCTTATTATTCTGTACTTATTATAATTTGACCTCGATAGTTGATATTGAAAATGAGTCAATGACAACTAAATACATGGGTGTGGTGAAGATAAAGTTTATTCCAAATATGGATTCTCTTTTGCCTCTTTAATACTAATTTAGTTTTATTATGTCTATAAATCGAGAGCCTAAAACATGCCTTGGAGGCTTAAAACCGTCTGGAACTGCACAAAAAATAACAATTTTACGTATGTCTCCTCAACATTTTAAAGGGTAAAATTAGGAAACGTTCGACGAAGTCTTCAACAAGTTAAACTAGATTTAATTGCACATTTGAAATGCAATATTTATAATGATCTTCTTTATATAATATTAATATATATATTAATAGATATATATATATATATATATATATATATATATATATATATATATATATATATATATATATATTAATAGATATTGGAAGAAGAAGGCGGGTGAATGAATCATATACTGGTCAATTATGTATCTAAGCGATTCCACGGGCATTGGACATCTGATGTCCTTGAGATGTTTGTAGCTATATTAAATATCAACTATAGTGATCAACCATAATTCATCTAAGTAGATAAGCTTTTTAAGGATCAAACATCATCATGCAGCTTCAAAAAGTCGTTAAAAATGATGATATTAGTTTATTAGATGTTATTTATATATTGTTTCTAATCTATATATTAACTGTATTCTAATCAATATAAACGGCTGGACCGATTTGAATAATTCTTTTTTTTGTTTTATTGGCGGTGTGTCAGGGGTAGGTAATTATTAATAAAATTAGTGAAAACCCAAAAAACAGCTGGAAAATTTAAAAATTTCAGAACTGTTTATTTTCTACCTAAATATATATAATATACATGTACATATATCTTTTCCATAATAACCGTTATAACGTACCTATGGATGAACCCGAGCGAAGCGAGGGTAGGTCGCTAGTATAATATAATGGGTTAATTACAGATTTAGTAGTATGCATGTATACGAAAAACTAAGTAAAATGTAAAAGGTACTGGAAATTATACATTATATATAGGTATATAAGAAACTATGTAAATATAATTACAATGCTATTTTTTGATATATATAATAAGAAATGCACATTCACACGATTTAAACAAATAAAATAAGTTAGTAAAACTTTCTAAAATAATTTATTATTCTTAGCTTGTGTTTTTTAAAAACCAATATACTTAAATAGTACTCTTTAGTAAAATAATATTCTATAACTAACTTAATAAAATTAAATTGAATACGTGTCACAAATCTCTAAGGATGTTAAGAGATAAAATTAATTTGCTTTAATTTATGTAGAGAATAATCTCAGGAACAGCTACAAAGAACTAAGGTTTATTAACTGACTTCCAAAAAGGAGGAGGTTCTTAATTCGTCCGAACGTTTTTATATACAAAAAAAGATAACGTATAACGAAAGATTAACGAGTGACAGTTCCGCCGTTGAAAACAAGTATATAATAACAATAAATTGGAACAATCTAAACAATATATTATAATACTGGTTATATTCTTTAAATATTTTATATTAAAGTAAAAACAAGCAACACAACAACATAACAAGCATTTTTATTTGATTATTCCTTTAAGTATAAATTATATCTCATAGAACGTAATATATAGCTAATGCAGTATATATGAAAATGTATAAAATCATATATACATAATATATAAAATATTGATCATTCATTTAAAATATTTCCAAATTTATAATATTATGTATAGAGGTTGCAAGTGCATCAAGTAATAATGTGTATACTCGTAGTGTATAAAGTTGCTTATTCTTATTTCATTATCCAGACAAAATCACTGTAAATAAATAAATAAATATGTTGGGATATTAACACACAGCACCATCCAGTTCCATGGTAAGCTACGAGGCTTGTGTTATGGATACCAGATAGTTGATACACTACACATATATAACTTTAAATACATACATATTATAAATATAAACATCCATGACTAGAGTACAAACCTTCATGCTCATTGCACAAATGAATGCCTTCGGCGGGACTCGAACCCACGACCGCTGGCACAGCAAGTAGGGTCACTACAAACTGATCCAAACGTGTCGTCATCAACTGTACCGAAAATGCTGATATTTGCATAGCCTGCTATAAACTCCTATTCTTATCTTAAGTAGTGAAAAAAGGAGTAAATAAAAATAATTTATATTATGGTAAAAATCCCATATATAACCTTAAAAAATTGCATGACTTACTTTAAAGTTAAACTTTATAACATGTTCAGTAAATGCTACATGAAGCGGTTTTATCCTGTAACAGTGTGTTCTGAAAGCATTTACTTAAAACTAGATTATATCTACAAATATTCCATTTTGTAAATGTTTTATATTTACCCTTAAAAAATAAAAAATAAACTATTTTCATTTACTAATATTTTACAATTATTATTTTTTTTTCAAAAAATTTATTTGTACAATTTTTCTTTGTTGTAGTATTATAGTACATATTATTAACAAACAAATCTTGCTTTTCATTGGTATTATAATGAAAAAAATACTAATTATCTAGATATATTAAGCATAAAAATTTATTTTTGAATATGTACTATGTACATATAAATATTTGTAAGAGTTGTTAAATTGTAACTTATGTGATAACTATAACGCATAAACAAAAGCTGAGATATTTATGACCCCATATCAACCTTTCAAAATAAAAAAAAACTAGTGTGGATAGACCAAGTGTTATTTTAATAATATAATTCTTCACTCTCGACGCAAATTATTTAAATGTTATTGCAATTCGCCGTCTAAAGTGGGTGGATCTATCGCTGATATATAAGCCTGCGCGGATTTTTTATCCGCATTCAAACTAGTTCAACGGAGCTAGGCAATCTCACAAAAATAAAAATGAAATTCGCCGTAAGTTATATATATATATATATAGTTCTATTAAAAATTCAATCAATATAATAATAATATAGTAAATCCGTGTGTTGTCGCGATGTGATAATATTGTAATTGTTATAATTAAATTATGTTAATTTTGTGAATTCAGGTAGTCATATTCGCATGCGTGCTGGCAGCCGCTACCGCTCAACTTAATAGGGGGCAATACCAGAAGGACCAATACCAATACAACAACAACAGATACAACAATCCATACAACAACCAATACAACAACCAATACAACAAACAATACAACAACCAATACAACCCCTTCGGCAACACCTACAACCGTTACCAGAATCAGAACTACAATCCTTACAAAGCCTTTGGGTCCTCCACTCCTTTCCCTCTGCGGCCTGCGGTTGTTGCTGAGGCCAGTGCTAGCATAGCTCCCCCCGTCGCCTCTGTGACCGCTTCTCCTGAAGCCCTTAAGATCACCGCAGCCCCCGCTCTACCAGCCCCCGTTCCTGTGCTCGCCATTGCCAAGATTGCCTCTGATGACCGTCACGCTGAAACCGTTAAATATGAAAATGAAATCAACCCTGACGGTAGCTACAACTACTTGTAAGTACATATAATCTATATTACAATATTCACTAAGTAATATAATACAGGACAATTATATAATTTTATTTAATATATTCCAGCTATGAAACCAACAACGGTATCACCGCTCAAGCTCAGGGTGTTCCCCGTAACTTCGGTGGTAACCCACCCGTAGTCCCTGATGTCGCCCAAGGTTCTTTCTCCTGGACTTCCCCTGAAGGCGAAACTATCGCCATCACCTACATCGCTGATGAGAACGGATACCAGCCACTCGTAAGTTAAATTAAATATCGACTTATTACTGTAATATAATATATCCATAAAAGATACTAACTAATATGTGTGAAAATTGGCATGTGAATGGGAATAGAATGTATTTTTTTATATACTTTGTTCGTTTTTTGTAGTTAATTATTGTATTTTAATACGCTACATCGTTCAAATTATTTATTTTTCTACTTACAGGGTAAAGCTATCCCCCAACCCCCTCCAATTCCAGACCAGATCGCCCGTGCCCTCGACTACATCGCGAGATCTGCCCCCAAAAACTAAATTATTAACTTTTAAATATTAATAATAGGTTTTACCACCATGACAGTAAAAGTATACATGTGACGAAGTAGAGTTAATAAATGTGTACAAATGCATAAACTTCTTGTGATATGTCCTAATTGTATCATTTTAAAGTCATATATAAATAAAACAAATAGTTTATAATTAATTGTACTCTCTTTTATTTACGTTTCCTTAAATATTATATTATTATACTTATTTTTCTTCTTTTGGCATTATATATGTAAAGGTTTTACATGGTCATATAATTTCGTGTCGGTCAGTGAATTATTATCTAGCTATCGGTTTTATACATATGTAATACTATAAGTAAGTAAGTATTTTAAAGTAATTCAATATAATTATATATTATATATATATATATATGTAGTTATAGTAATAAATATATATATATATATATATATATATATATATATATATGTAGTTGATACAGAACTCGGAATGCTCTATTTGTTACAATCATCAATTTTAGTGATGCAAAAAAATGTCTGAATTTCAAGGTTATTTACAAATTAAAACTATTTGCTTTACTTTAAACCATAATCGTTAATAATATATATTTTTTACATTATTTCAGTTTTTACTTGTCGCTACATAACACTGTAACGGACTCAAAGTTTTGTAAAAATGTTTCTTGAGAACATTAAAGTATTATTATTAGCATCTGAATAAAACTATCTTTTCGGATTATTTCGCGGATTTATTTTGATTTTTGGTTCCCGACGTTTCGAATGCTTTACAGCATCCATGGTCACGGGAGAGACTGAGGTGTTAGATGTCTTGAAGGTATAGTTGTTACAGACAGCCTATAGTTAGCCTATAGTTGTTAAAGCATTCGAAACGTCGGGAACCAAAAATCAAAATAAATCCGCGAAATAATCCGAAAAGATAGTTTTATTTAATAATGTCAAACATTCGCGTAAATCTAAGAAAGTATTATAGCATCTGAATTTGAGTGATATAGAAATCTCATTGTCTGGTTTTACAATTATTATTTTTAAAGTTTGAAATTACTTGAAAACTTTCTTGATAACGGAATAGATAAGCTTTTAGTATATTGATTAAAAAGCTTATATGGAGTTTATTTATATGAGTATAACCAAAATGATGTTCACGTCAAATCAACATCAGGAAGCCATAACATTTGAATAACCAGATGGTGCACAATAACTAAATTAGAATACCTTTATTTTATGTATTTAAATTTATTCACATTCATAATTAATCATTAAATGGTGTTTTCAAGAACATCCTCAGCAATATTGCTTCATATGCTCTCCTTTTTTATTCATTCGTATGTATTAAATTAAAAATAGATGAAATAATATATTAAAAGTAGTTTTAGAATATTCATATAAAATAATTAAAAAAAAAACTGTTCGTAAAGCTGTTAGGATAAATCAAAAAACTGCGATAAAATAAGAAACTTCAGCTTGATCTTAAAAAAAATTGAATAATAGAGAGTTTTTAACAGAAAATGAATAATTTAATTTAATATGAAGGTTGTTTTGGTATATTCATTTTATTATGATTTTCTTTTGAAATAATGTATACATATATCATCGTATATTTTTAAAGAAAGAAAGTATGGTTTTATTTTATTAAAACAGTGTAAAAATGTCTTGCAATTAATAAGAACCCGCAACTTGTACCTGTCATTTTTATTATAAAACATATTATTAAAAAGCTCGTAAAAACATATACAAAAACTTTGAGAAACAATAAATAATATACTATCGGTTCGTTAAGAGTGTTTTGTAGGGTAGCAAAAAATTGACAGCGAATGAAACGTTGCATCCTTACAAAACTTCACTTTATTAAATACTAGCGACTCACTCCCGCTTCACTCGGGTTCGTCCCTAGGTTGATTCCCTATACAAACTTTCATCCCTATTTTCACCCCCGTAAGGGATGATTTCCGGGATAAATAGTCTCAAACTATCTTCTTACAAAATTTCACCTAAATCGGTTCAGTAGATCCAGAGAATACCCCCTACAACGTTACAAACTTTACCTCTTTATAATATTAGACTAGCGACTCACCCTCACTTCGCTCGGCTTCGTCTCTAGAGATGTTTATATAGAATAGATAGACTTATATTATCTATATAATATTAATGATGAGTTGTTATGGGTTGTATTATAACTTTTTTTCCCGTGCGACTTAGATGTACCGTGGAATATAGCCTACGTCACTCTCCAGTCCTCCAACTATCTCCACACAAACAAAAAATCACGCCAATCTGTCACTCTATTATGACGTGAAAGAAGGACAAACAAACCCTTTCACATTTATAATATTAAGTATGGATATAAATGCGAAAGTATCTTTAATTATACTTATTCTAGCTTTATTCTTTTTTTTTTCTTAAAAAAAGGTGCTCTTTTTTGCAGAATCGGAGCGTTGATTGGACGTAACTTTTGTACATAGAAAAGTTTGTTACTTAGTGAGATTACTTAATTTTGTTGGAAAATTGGATTTTAATTTGAGTGAGTTAGTAAATTTTCACAAGAGTATTGTAATAAGTTGCCGTTCTAAAGGTTCTAGAGCATTACTCTCTCATAAAGGGGCTTCAGACTTTTGACTTGACTTGTCTCCCCCTATTTCATCTTCTATTCACTCTTCGACAGTATATTTTTTGGCCATTCTTAGGTCATTCGTTCTTTCTACGTGCCCAAACCATCTGAGCACCTTTTTCTTTATACTTACTACATTACTTGCATTGAAATCTCTTCATCGTGGATTCTATTACTCGTAGGTGAGTCGACATTGCACAGTCTTCTGAGAGATCGCATTTCTAGTGCTACCGTCATACTTCTTCTACCACGTCCACAATTAAACCAATAAACAATGAATCAAATTGTAATGATAGACTACAATATAATATTATGATAAAATAAGAATTCGTTTCAAAAAACTTACTAATAATTTAAGTAGGTAGATCGGTAGGTTCTTTCAATAAAGCCATGTACAGACGTAAGGAATTGATTTTTAAAGAGTTGTTTGATCTCAAGCCTAATTTATAATTAACTTTTTTTATAAATATGTGTTAATAATAATAATGAAAAATTTCAAATGAACCGGTTGGCTTCAAATGATACTTAAAATACCAATCATGCTAAAATTATAGTGAATCTATGAAACAAAAAATGTGGTAATAGAGTTCAGTGTTTTCTCCTTAAGAAATTATTACTATGTTTAAAGGGCAATGGCCTTATAATAGAATTCGAACATTTAATGTCCGTCGGGGGTCGGAGTGTAAACGTGTAAAGTTTGTTGACTTTATGTTCATAGTTTATGTATGTATGTATACTAATAAAACTGGTACATATAAATATCTGTAAGGTATTTTTTGCGTCGAACAGTTTTTTGTATTAATAATAAGCTATGGAGAAAAGCATCGTTATTATTAAATAACAAATTAGTTAATCGAAATGGCATCATAAGTCGTTGGAATATTGTTCAAATTTATTTCAACTGTCTCCTCGCTTTTTCTACTTCAAAATTTAACATTTTCTGGCAAATTATTTATAGCTGCAAGTTATGTATGATTAGCGATCGCACCTCTGTCTGTCCGCCGTCTATCACACGGGTTTTACAGCCAAACGGTTGGAGCTATAGTCTTCAAATTTTCGCAGACTCAAAGCCATATAAATCTTAAAAAAAATATTTTTAAATGTTTGACGCGAAAAAAATTGTTGAACTACCCCCTTGAGTGGGGTATCGTTGCTTATAGCTCGTTGAGTGGGAAATCATGGTTTTTTTGAAGTGAAACTTCTTTAGAATCGTTGTGATCTGAAACTCGATGAAACGGAAATGCAACACTAAAAAGAGACAAACACATAAATATATAGAATTAAGCCAGCGAGAGAATGAGAGAATACATTGCCATGTTGCCATGGTAACCGTTGATATTGTATATTTGTGTCAAATAAAATATAAAATAACTTTTAAACTTCGTAAAAATATTATAAAAAATAAACCCTATACTTTATTCAACTATACGCATACTACCAGACGCATATTTTTTTATTTTAAAAAATATTGGGAAGCAAAAGAATGAGAAGCCACCAAAGTCACCTTTTTTCCAAAATTTTGTTCCTAAGAATTTTTAAACTTCCCATTGACATATGAACTTGAAATTTGGTGATAATGTTTATTATTACGTATATTTTACTAAAAAATATCAATTTATGGATAAATCAGTATTTTTCTTCGATATTCTCACATTTTTCCTAGTAATATTCTGCTATGAAATAGATAATAAAACACCAAGATGGCGAACTTCAAAAAGGCCCATGGATGCAAATTAAAAAAAAACAATTAATTGAGACTTTTGTTTATTCATTTATTTTATAAACAGTACACAAGTTTTTAAATGTATAAATTTAATAATATCATGTAATCAATTTGTAACTTAAGTTACTTCTAACTCTTCCTAGCAAAAAATGTATTATAATTATATATTAATATTAATGGTTTACGTAAACATCAATTGTAATTACGTACTACTGGATACAATTCAATTCCGAACAAATCCTTAGCTACATCTATACTTCTATACTAATATTACAAAGAGGCAGAGTTTATTTGTTTGTTTGGTGTAACGCGCTAATCTCAGGAACTACTAATCTAATTTGATAAAATATTTTTGCTTTAGATAAATGATTTATTGAGGAAGGCTATACGCTATATATCAATTCTGAAAATTTACGGTTCCCGTGGGATACATTTGTTTTTGTCTAAGGACGACACCGAAGCGAAGCGAGGGTGAGTCGCTAGTCCTACATGAAAGTTGATCTTCAGCATATGTTGAGCTGATATATAGGGATAAAATCGTTCATAATCATTTCTAAAATTTGCTTGAGCAAACAGACTGAGTGACAAAAATTATAAATATTGGTTTAGTGGCTATCTCTGGTTTTCTGGGTTTCATAAAACAAAAAAAAACACGCTAGTTTTATTTTAATGAGCA